CACAGGTTTGCCTGCTGTGTCTAAAAGTAGCAGCAGCAGCAACCCAGACTGACGGCCGCTCATTGGATAATTGGTATCACCTGTAGCCTGGTCCTGGTGCTCCAGACGGCTTTACCATATTACCAGGAGAAGTGGTGCAAGTGAAGTTAGACACTGTCGTCGGACAACATGTGGTAATTTATAAATGTTTTAACTCAGGTTGGGTCTGGATTAGGCAGCAGGTGGGTCCAGATCCGGACCGTAGTCTGCTAATCCGTGACCTCTGCTCTAGGCGGTGTAACATTACTTGGCAGGAAATAATCATTGTTCAGAAATAATCACCATCTTGGGGTTTGTTGCTTTGCAATAATTGGCCAGACATTGTTTCATTATGTAGTCAAACAGGAACAACATCCAACAATGGCTTAAAAGGTCATCCATCTTTTTAAAATATAATTTTAAAAACATATTCTTTTCCCCAAGTCAAAAAATCAAGTCCTTTCCATTGTTTCTTTGCTGCAACGCATTGCTTCTAGTATATCTGGGATCTGGCACTATTTGTTGAATTTATTGCTTGTATAAATAAGTTTTGCTGCTGGTGGAGAAACAATACCTTCCAATACAAATGTCATACAATATCTTAAATACTGTTAGTTAAAAATATTTCCAATCAAGCAAAAGAATATTCTGCTTCCAAGCTGAAAATACTTCTACACAAGTGAGTTAATAAAAAGAAAAGGGTGAATGATAAACAGCAGTAATAGTCATGCGGCTTTCCGGTATAATCTATCATCACCCTTACACTGTCTTCCTTTAGCTTCCTTTCAGTGGGTTTGGATTTTTGATAGCTTTGAACACCCTTCTAAACCCATCATTAGGAAGACTGACTTTGATAGCGACAGCGCTTTTCCAAAGTATGAAATTGCAGCTTGTCAGTGTGAGAAATAGATAATGTAGGGGAGGTGTTAGGTGTATAACCCGTCTCCACACTGTGAACCCATGTGTTACTGTGTGTTTGCTCATGAATGACAGGTATATGCATGGTGTGTGAGTGAAGCCTCAGACTAATAGGGTGAGTCACGGAGATCTCTTCAGAGGTGGAGTTGGTCTCTTTGGTTTGTTATAAACCTTAGAAGAGTATCTTTGGAAACCCAGTGGGAGGTTCCGTCTGCCTTCAATGTCAATCTGTCTTCAAGGCAGACCATATATATAATAACAAGGGACTGGGTCTTCAAGAGCTAATGTGCATATTTTAGATAGTTTCTTGCTTCTGTCCTGCTTTTTTAATTAAAACTGATGTTTAGCAGGATCTGCTTCTGAAGATCCTGGGGACAGGCTAAGGGAATAATTAAATTAACCCAAACAGGAACACATCTAAAGCTTGAAAGACAGTAAACCTTAGATACTGTAGTGGCTCTCCTCTGATTTTTGCTGTAAAATATCAATAATCAGTAATCAGTAATCTTGTATTGATATAACCACAAACTTTTTTGCCAATAATTGCCTTTACTTAAAAATATGGAGGCTCATACGTGGGGCATAAGTTCCAGGTAAGTTATCTGATCGTTGACATACATTAAAGGCTGGTTTATACTCAGAATCCAGGTCGTCTGCGTGTGTTGCAGTGAACGCAAATATGCCCCTGCCCCTTCCCATTCTGCTGCACCTCTCCAAAATTGTAGGTGACCGCAGACAGGAGGCCTCTGATTGGTCAAATCTACATCCGCTCTACCTTATGCATATTCCTATTTGGTACATTAACGGCTTGTTTTCTTTGTATGACCGCCATTGTTGAAAACGAGAATGCTGGGACCCTTTTTCCACCTGGATCCCTGCTCTTTTTAGCCCTCATGTCCCTCCATTGTCGCAGAAACTTGCCCCCACTTCCTCACCGCCTCTGCCATCTACACCCACAGCTAGTTCGTGATTGTCCCTCTAACGTTGTGTTGGGGAAAAACAGCACAGACTACGCTTCAATACTGGGTATAAATCAAAAATATCTCCGACAAGCTCACTGCGACACACTGCTGTGAGAGTATAACCAGCCCCTAAGTCTAAGTTACTCATAAGTCGTGGCGTCTAGCTTATCCAAAACCTATCAGTGACTTGTGCATAACTTATGAAGAACTTATCTCCAATGCATATCAACGTATTTGACGGGTTCTAGATGACTTCTGAATGTTTTTTTAATGAACAGCTACTGTTTAATGGTGTATTGGGACCGTTTTTGTATAAAAGGGGGTTCACTGGAGGAAACTGTCATTTCTCCTCAAGATTACGTCCCCATAATAGTGTGATGGATCCTCCCTGCGTTTATGCCCACAACTAACAAAATTCCTGAGAGACATAATGCTGAATCTGCTTTGACTGCAAACCCTCTTTCTTTTTCTCTATTTATTAGTTCTTCATTTTGCCGTTTGGACATAATGTCTTTACAACCAAATTTTTATTTGGTGGTACATAATTTTGCTGAACCAAGACCTGACCAGCTGCAGCAACGCTAGTGTTCTGAAATAAGCCATGATAATAACTTGGGGACTAAAGCCCATGTTGTTTCTCTTTGTAACCTTTAAAGCCCACAGACCCCATTAGCAAAACATTATCTCAGAGACACTTAACAGGGATATTTGATGACACCCTGCTATGGTCAGTATATACTGTACAGCATTGCATCCTCACACTCGTTCTATTTGCATTGGTAGTTCTGCCAGAGTACAACACTGGGGAGATCTCCTGAATGGCAGGCCAAGAACCAGAACCTTCTAACTGCTCAAGGGCTAAATGGAGATAATCTCAGAATCAAATTAATGCAAACAGACTTTCTGCAAACTTTTAATTTAAAGGTTACAGGAGTAACTTTGGGGTTGTTAGCATCCCAGAGGACACTACCAACCCCAGCAAGGCCATCCAGTCACAAGGACATGTTAAGTTCGTTTGGACAATGGAGGCATCTCAGCCTTTCAAACAGTACAGAAATAATCCAATATAAAGCTCAAAACTATTTGCTTTGTTAAATCCAGGTGATGATCTTTAATAAAACCATTTTTTTTTATCTTGGTTTTGTTGAGGCAGTGATGAGTAGTACTTTTGAAGTCTAATGTCGCATGGTAAAGTTAATCCTTACTAGTGGTAAAGTGGAAATTACCAGCGCATTGGGTTCAAGTGCTTTCGTTGTGTTAGAGAAGAGAAACGTGTGATCTAAATATTAACCTGACCTGATACTTAAGCAAATCAGTTGGACTTCCTAATTCCTCTGCAACAAGAAGAAGAGGATTCAGCAAATGCAAGAACTGACTGCTAGCAAGAATTTGATGAAAGACCTCGAGTTTCAGTGGTGATATATATATTTTTTTAAGGTATGTCCCTGTACGGCATAGGCTACAAACATAACGGTAGAGGCTATTTAACAAAGCAGAGTTAACTATACAAAATAGTTTGCTGCTCTTCACCATGTTGATAGGTCAAAGTTTATCTCATCTGCAATTTTGGGTATTTTAGTATTTTCCCAGCTTTCCAGTGGAAATTACTACATGATTGGGTGTTTATGTGCAATC